TACAGAAACCACATAAATGTAACATGATGATACTACAAGCTAGCTCTGAAGTGCTAGTCACTTTTTAATATAGCTCTATCGATGGCTTATGAGGTAGGAATTATTATGTCCATTTACAAATATGCAAACTGCAGACAGAGAAGTTAAGTAACCTGCCCGATGTCACATTGCTGATACGTGAGGAAACTAAGCTCTGAGTCTAGGTAGCAGCTCTAAAGCCTGGACCCTGGTATGCAAACCCAGAAGAGCTGCCTTAAATTCTGGGAAAGGCAGGTTGGAAAGGCCAACCCAGACCACATCAGATGTGATTATTCCATGGGCAGCAGAGGGGGAAGAGGACTATACAGGACAGTGGTGAGGGTGGGCTTAGGGAGTGAACAGTCTAGGCAGAAAGAAGAATAAAACTGAGATGTGAAAGTACATGACACATTCAAGAACTGCAAACAGCTCAGCACAACTTCTGGAAAAGAGCCCCGAGGTAGAAGGAACCCATTCTGCAGGACCTCCTAGGCCACGTTAAGGAAACACACCCTGCATGTACAGGACTTCACACACAGGAGCAGCAGGCCTATGTTCTGGCAACAGTAGGGGAATAGAAATTTCACGGGCAGTGAGCACGGCAAAATAAAGAGATCAGCTAAAAATTATGAGGGTCTGAGCAAAAGCAACACATGCTGACAGCAAGGGACAATTCAGGACCGACCCGGTAAAGGGCAGAACATAGGAGTGCAGACAGGATGAATTTCTGTCTAGCTTGAGCAACAGGCAGAGCAAGGAAGCCTAGGAGGTGGAGGAAACAATGGGCTTGTAGGGAACAGTTTGCAGAACCCAGGGACCAAAGCAAAGCAAAGATACACATCGGAATCAACATCATATTAAGTGAACCCAGGTAAGACTGATCCCTTCAGGAACGCCAGGACAGCAGGAAAAGCAGCAGAAAGCTGCTCTCATCAAGAGCCAGCCAAGTCTCAAGGAAGGAATGGCCAAGAGTTTCTACAGTGGAAAGAGGGCTCAGCGGCTCAAAGTGGCTGCTCTTCCAGAGGACCTGGGTTCAATTCCCAGCATCCACATCGCAGTTCACAACTGTCTGTAACTCCAGTTCCAGGGCACCTGACACCCTCATAAATGCACACATGTAGGCAAAACACCAATGCACATAAATAAGAAATCTGCTGGGCAGTGGTGGTGCACACCTTTAATCCCAGCACTTGGGAGGCAGAGGCAGGCGGATCTCTGAATTTGAGGCCAGCCTGGTCTAGAGTGAGTTCCAGGGCAGCTAGAGTTACATGAAGAGGGGTAGGGGAAGGTAGTCAAGTGAGGAAACATAATAAAATGTAGCTAAATGTTCTCGCAATTGAGACAGTTTTACAGGTCTGGTGGGCGCATAGCTGCTTGGGAAGCTGAGGTGGGGACAGCATAAGTTCAAGGCCTGTCTGGGCTACAGAGTGAGAAGACAGACGACCTGGGAAACTGAGTGAGGCTGTCTCAAAATAAAAGAAAACAGTAATAAAGAAAAGTGACATACAAAATAGAGGAAGTGGGCAAGACAGCTTGGTGGCTGAAGAGGCCTGCCACGATGCCTGATATCCTGTGTTTGATCCCGAGAGAACCCACTCCCACAGGTGGTCCTCTGACCTCCAACATGCAAGTACGTCCACACACATGTGGACACACAGAACAAGTGTAATTTTAAAAGGGAAGACCGGGCAGCTCAATAGTAGAAAACCTGCCCACTAAATTCAAGGATCTGAGTTTAGTTCCCAAAGCTGAGGGTAGCGGGGCAGGTCTAAGTTTCCCATCAATCTACCACAAAGAATACCACTACTGTTTATCCCTGTGTTCTGTTCTTTTTCTTCTTCTTTTAAACATAGTAATATTGTATATTGCTGCACAGCACAGCAAAGCTGACATCAAGAGCCATGCCTATCCTCAAATTTCTCAAGCATAATGGGCATGCCATACATAAAAAAGTTAGATATGACCAGTGCTGTGGGCCTTGGGACACATCATACCTGCAGGCTACAGGGAAGATTCTCGGTTTGTTTTTTTTTTTTGGTTTTTTCGAGACAGGGTTTCTCTGTGTAGCTTTGCGCCTTTCCTGGAGCTCACTTGGTAGCCCAGGCTGGCCTCGAACTCACAGAGATCCGCCTGGCTCTGCCTCCCGAGTGCTGGGATTAAAGGCGTGCGCCACCACGCCCGGCGATTCTCGGTTTGTTTATACTGCGGGTAAGAAGGAAGGGGATAAAGAACACCCAAAGGATGGAGGGACCTCTGGAGAACCTGAGGACTTCTAGAAAAATACAACCACAAAGTTGCCAAATTTGCCCATACATCTTCAGATAGGTTCAGGGACCTGCCCTGCAATTTCACTATTGAGCTGGGTGTGGTGTAGTAGCCGACCCCTGTAATTTAAACATTTGGGAGGTGAACAGAGTAACCTCAAGGTCATTCCTGGCTACCAGTGGATTTGGGGACCAAGTAAGAAAGGAGAAAAATATAGGAGGAGGGGCAGAGGGAGGAAGGGAGAAACCAAAAACTGAAATTTTTCACTCTGTAAGGGCTGGCAAGACAGCTGGGCAAGTGAAGGTGCTTGCTAAGGCTGGTGACCGATCTCTTACCTGGAATTGCCCCCTAGGACCTACATGGTAGAAGGAAAAGACTAATTCCCACGGGTTGTCCTTGGAACTCTACACACACACACAGGAATGTCATGGCATATGAACGCACTCACACACACATGTGCGTGTACACACACATATTCTCTCTCTCTCTCTCTCTCTCTCTCTCTCTCTCTCTCTCTCTAAACAATTTTTTAAAAAATTTCAGTTTAAGAAACTATAATGCCAAGTTTACTGGCATAATTCCATTACTCAGGAGGCCAAGGCCTCCTTGATCTCTGTGAGTTCAAGGCCAGTCAGGTCTACTGAGTTCCAGGACAGCCAGAGCAGTTATAGAGAAACTCTGTCTTGAAAAACCAAAACCAAACCAACCAACCAAACGAACAAACAAAAAACCTTTGAATCAAACCAAAGCAAACCACCACCACAGAACAAAAACAACCTACACAGTACAATGTGATATAGCAACAATCAATACATACATTTCTGAGAGTTTTGCTCTCACTGGGATGATAAAATAAAAACTATTACCATTTTCAGAACTAAAATAAATAGTCCAAGACAGAATGAAAACTGAGAACTATTTTTTTTTTTTTTTTTTTGGTTTTTCGAGACAGGGTTTCTCTGTGTAGTTTTGCGCCTTTCCTGGAGCTCACTTGGTAGCCCAGGCTGGCCTCGAACTCACAGCGATTCGCCTGGCTCTGCCTCCCGAGTGCTGGGATTAAAGGCGTGCGCCACCACCGCCCGGCCTATTTTTTTTTTTTAAGACAGGGTTTCTCTGTGAAACAGTCCTGGCTGTCCTGGATCTCGCTCTGTAGACCAGGCTGACCTTGAACTCACAGAGATCCGCCTGGCTCTGCCTCCCAGTGCTGGGATTAGAGGCGTGTGCCACCGCCCGGCCTTGACAACTGCTCTTTAAGGGGCACTTCCTCAGAGGAGAAAGCAGATCTGAGGAGTTCCTGATACATTCTGTATGGGAGACACCACATGGCACACAACAGCAGAGAGCAAGCAGAGGCTCTCCTGATGAAGCTGCTCTCTGGCCATCACTTCCTGACAGTCCATAGGCTGTGACAGATGTCAGACGGGTGGGTGGGTCAGCCTAGTATAGGCCTGGGCGGTGGTGGCGCACGCCTTTAATCCCAGCACTCAGGAGGCAGAGGCAGGTGGATCTCTCTCTCTGTGAGTTGAGGTCAGCCTTACAGAGGTAGTTCCAGGACAGCCAGGGCTACCAAAAAAAAAAAAAAAAAAAAAGGGAAAAGTAAGGGGATGGGGGAACAAAAATAAAGCCCAATACTGCCCAGGCCTGGATGACAGTCTGGGGGCAAGCAGAGGTTTACGTGGGATAACCAGAACTCTGACAAAGGCTGTGGCAGCTCTCTTTCCAATTCGATCACTGGAACAACTGCTTCCCAACAAGGCCTCTCTCCATGGGGGGGGGGGGGGTGTCTTCCATTTTGCAGGTATCCAAATATCCAGGATATCTATACGTCAGGACTCCAGCACCCTCCCTCCTTTTCTTTTGGTGCCGCAGACATCCAGCTAGAAGGAGAAGGTGCAGGGAAGGAAGAGAACTCAGAAGAGCTGGGGCCTGGTGCCGGCAAGCTTACGAGTCCTAGATGGTTCCGGGTCCTTAGCACAATCTACTCTTCTGGGCTACAAAGAATCCCAGGTCGGAGAAAACTGATGAAAACTGGGGTGGTAGGGGAGGTAGGTGCACTCAGCCTAAAGTGTCCGCAGGATGCAAAGTACCCGAGCTGCCACCAGCTCTGCGCGGACTGAGAAGACCGCTGCTCAACGCCTAGGCTGTCTGCCTAGTCAACATGAATGGGGGGAAATCTTTCGAGTGTACATGAAAACCTGGCAGAGGATTTCTCTTGCTAACTGCTCCACAAGTGCTATTCCCAGCCTGACCCATGCAAAGAGGAAAACCGATCTGGCTGAAAGACTAGGCCCTCTTCCTCACAGCAGTCTCCCTCAGAAAGAGCAGGGCCTGGAAGTGTGCTCTAGAGGCCAGAGACAGGCTGGGTGTGGTGACTCACACCTGCACTCTCAGCACTTGGGGGGAGGCCGAGGCAGGGAGATTGCTGCCAAGTGAGAGAGGCCACCCCGGAGTACCTACCGAGCTATGTAAAGAGTACGGCAATAATTAACAGCAAGACACTGTCTCGGGAACCGAGACAAACAAAACCAGCTCAGAGATAGTCTCAGCCTGTCAAAGACGTTGGACCACAGGATACAATCACACTGGAGGAAGAGGTAAGAGGAACCTCACCCAGCCCAGATGGACCAAAGCCGACAGGGCACTACTGAATGCGGAGATGTTCTTTTGCCATGGTAACGGTAAACTGTTGGCAGGGTTAGGCAGACCTAAACTGGACCAGGAGTCGAGGTAACAAGAATTTGAGAGCCCTTCACACACACGGAGAGCTAGCTACCCCAGAGGCACAGACGTTCCAAACCAAACCCTCCTGCATTGCCCCTGGGTTCATCCAACCAAAAAACTTGGGAGACTCATTAACACTCGGGAGGGTGGGCATGCCTACCACCGTGCAGCAGAACCAAGGAACCACAACACCGCACGGATGAACCCTGCCTCTGCCGAATAAAACTACAGAACAAGACGCACGATACGACAAGCGGAGCCTTTCTACTTTACTTCCTCAGTGACGCCTAAGGGTGTGTGTTGGGGCTGGGGTGGAGGGAGTGTTCCGATATTTTTCGCTTCAACATCTTTATTCCACCCAGGAAATGCAAGGAGCCTTATAACCAAGCATCTCGCGCGCGCACACACACACAGGCCGTCCCAAGCCCACATGATAAGGTGACCCATCCCCGTCCTAATTCCGTGGACACGTCCACCTGGCCGGCCTGGCTGACTGCAAACGCTATTTCACACGCAGGGCTGGGGTTAGAGGCAGCAGCCCCTCAACTTTCTTCCCGGGTGTGCCAAGCACGAACCCGGGGGTTGGGGGGGACAGATCTTCGCGGTAAACACACCCAGAGCTTTGTTTTACACGCAGGATTCTGCCCCCCGGCCTCTCTCCGCTCGCCGGAGAGGTGCTGGCTCTCCCGGCCGCCGCCGCCGCCGCCGAGGCCGAGGGCTGCTCTCGCCGGGTTCCGG